TTTGTACACCAATTACGGCTGCTATGTATGATTGGTGACATTCACACCAATTATTATGGCATAACTTATCTAGAGATCGAATTACATGAGATTGGCACAAACAAAAAAAGAACGTCAAACTTTCTTTCCAAACTCCTCGCACGTGCAAAAGTTTATAAGCAATTCCCTCAGTTAATCAAAGATATCTCTTCCTGATCAATCATCAGTTAGGGATGGATTCTGGCACAATTCCATATATTAAGACAGCCGCAACAGGTGTCTTGGTCCTCCTACTTATCTATTGCTACTGTATGACCAACAAGTGGAGAGCTGCCAAGAGCGTAAGGGCACCTGAACCAGCAGGTGGATGGCCTATATTCGGCCACCACCAACTCTTAGCAGGCTCTCAGCTTCTCCACAAAACATTAGGAGCCATAGCTTACAGGTATGGTCCAATCTTCACCGTAAGGCTTGGGATGAATCCAACTTTGGTAGTTAGCAGTTGGGAATTGGCCAAGGAATTGTTCACCATCAACGACCTGGCCGTGACCTCTCGGCCACGTTTTACAGCTGCTAAATACTTAGGCTACAACTTCGCCATGTTTGCTTTTTCTCCACAAGGTCCATACTGGCGTGAAACACGCAAGATAGCCACTTCAGAATTACTATCAAACCGCAGGCTTAATCAACTGAAGGATGTCAGGATTCATGAAGTGGAAACATCTTTAAAAGAGCTATACACGCATTGGGAAGAAAAAAGAATGGCTCAGGCGAAGTTGTTGTTGATTTGAAGCAATGGTTTGTGGGCTTAACTCTAAATGCGATTCTTAGGACGGTTGCAGGGAAGAGGTATTATGGTAGTGCTGTGGGTGATAATGATAAAATTAAAGCACAGCAGTGGCAGAAGGCTGTGAGGAAATTTTTCGAGTATTTAGGGATTTTTGTTGTGAGGGACGCTCTACCTTTTCTTGGGTGGCTTGATATTGGTGGGCATGAGAAAGCCATGAAGAGAACTGCTAAAGAAATGGACAGCATTCTAGGTGAATGGTTGGAAGAGCATAAGCGAAAAAGGCTTTTAGGCGACGCTGATCAAGCAGAGCAAGATTTCATGGACGTTATGCTTTCGGTCCTTCCAGGCACTGATCTTGCAGGTTATGATGCCGATACAGTGAACAAAGCCACATCCTTAGTAAGTTCAGTTCCCTCATCTTTCAATCTTTATTTATTATTTATTTTTTATTCAACCTGAAAGGTAGTTTTAATTATTATTATTTTTTTATAGAAGTTTACTTAAAAAAAAAAAAAACTATCTAGTCATCATAAAATAAAATAATTGTCAATGGAAATATATATATATTTTTTTTAATCGAGGGAATTGTTCGGTATATAAAAAATTATACTCCTGTCTTTGTAAAGGGAAAAATAATATTAATACTAAAATACCAAAATTGGCGAAGAGATCGAACAAAAGGCATACTACCAGAATGTATTTGAACCTATCTAACAAATATTTTGTTATGCCTGCTCCACATTCAATTTATTCGAGAAATTATTGTTTCCCTCCACTGGCCAAAATTATTAGCCTCCACAATCTCGTCCATCAGGCCAGTATAGACGCAATCGTGGCCCTTGCCAGATTTATGGTTTCAGAAATCACACTGTTGATAGGTGCAGACAATGTTACATGCCATGTCAAAATTCCTTTGCTCCCCCACATGTTACTCTTGCTTGGCATGCCTCGGCTATGCCACCCTCCAGCGTGCCTTCTGCTTATTCACCCTTTCCCTCTTCTCCGTCAGTGGGTTGGTATCCTAATATAGGTGCTACACATCATATGACTCCCGACTACTCTGCTCTTTCTAATGTTACTACTTATAAGGGTGCTGATCAGATTACTGTTGATAATGGCCAAGGTTTGCCTATTTCTCATGCTAGTATTGCTTCTCTCCTTTCCCTTTTTCCCTATTAAAATTTAAAACTTTCCATTGTTTATCATGTTCCCACTCTCACTAAATCACTTTTATTTGTTCAAAAGTTCACTACTGCTAAAAATTGCTTCTTTGAATTTTGGCCCTCTCATTTTTTGGTGAAGGATCGGAGGAGCAAAGCAACCCTGTTGTGAGGCGGGAGTGAGAATGGATTGTATCGTGTTCTGTCTCCACACAAGCAAGCTTTTATAAGCCAAAGTGTTCCTTTTGCAACTTGGCACTCTCGTTTTGGACATCCTCAACCTCGTAATGTCTTAAAATCATTAAGGACAATAACTTGCATTGTTCCGATAAGTCTATGTCCGTTCTTAATTGTTCCGCATGCCACTTAGGAAAATTAGCTCGTCCGCCTTTAGCATCCGTTGAACACACTAGTTGTCAACCTTTTGATATTATTTATTCGGATGTTTGGAGGCCCGCCCTCGTAGTTTCTAATTTAGGATATCGCTATTTTCTATTATTTATGGATGATTTTACACGATTCACTTGGATTTATTTTCTTAAAAACAAAAATGATGTTTATTCCATGTTTCTTCAATTCCAAGCATATGTTAGTCGACAATTTAATGGTACTATCAAATCTTTTCATTCGGACTAGGGGAAGGGTATCAAAAATTAAATTCTTATTTCAAACAAATTGGTATTGTTCATCACATTGCATGTCCCTATACTCATGAACAAAATGGTGTCTCTAAACGCAAGATTAGTCATATTGTTGACATTGGCCTAACTACTTTGGCACATGCTAGAATTCCTTTCAAATTTTGACCTTATGCTTTTCAAACAAGCATTCAACTAATCAACTTATTGCCCACTCTCCTTCTCAAAAATAGAACTCCATACCAATTACTCCATGGTCAACCACCTAAATATACGGAACTAAAAACATTTGGTTGTGCTATCTATCCCCTTCTTCATCCATATAACCAACATAAATTTGTCTTTTGCACTAAGGTCCGTGTTTATTTAGGATAGTCCCCTCATCATCATGGTCACCTATGTCTAGACCTTGAAACTAATAGAGTTTATATAGCTAGACATATCAAATTTGATGAGACTTCTTTCTCGTACCAAACCGGAGTTATCCAAAATGGTAGTTCTACTTTGCCTTCGCCAACTCCGTGGATGACACTTTTAGTTCGATCTCCTCCTCCCACGCAACAAGGTATGTCTATCTCTACTCCTTTATCATTATCCATAACTACTTCTTCTTCCTCCCCTCCTATGAACCTCTACTTCATCAATGATACAGACCTACTTCATCCTCCTATACACCTACAACAAAAACTAGGACACCATCCCATTATCTCATCCCTCTAATGCACCCCATGTTATCCAATCTACTATGACACCTACCCCACCATTGGCCAATTCCCCGCCATGTCCGAACCTCGTGCTTGATCAACCTTCCTACTCTCTTGTCACACCCACCACCTCATAAACTTCTCTCCTTTGGGTTCACCTTATGGCCCTTCGTCCCTCCACCATGCACAAGCACCAAGCTCATGTTGTGCTCAAAGAAAAACCCACCCTTAATTACCTTGCCCATGAACCACCAACCTACGACCAAGCTAAACCCTTTCGTGTACGGCGGTAAGTAATGACGAGTTGAAATATATGCTCTCCTAGCCAATACCACTTGGAATCTTGTTCCACACCCTATAAATGTTAATGTTATTAGGAATAGATGGGTTTATAGGATTAAACACACTACCGTTGGCAAGGTTGAACGCTATAATGTACGCAAAGGGATATACCCAAACATTAAGAATGGTAGTTAAATCCACCACCATTTGGGTCATATTGGCATCAACATCAATGTTTAAATGGTCAATGTGGCAACTGGATGTTTCCAACGCCTTTCTACATGGTTACCTTGATGAGAAAATTTTCATAAAACAACCATAAGGCTTTACTAATCCTTCATGTCCAGATTTTATATGCGGGCTTAATCGCTCCTTTTATGGCTTAAAACGAGCCCTTAGAGCTTGGTTTACACGCTTCATTCGGTTTCTCACCTCCTTGAAGTTCATACCATTAAAGACGGACACCTCCCTCTTTATGTTTTGTCTTCGCTATAGATGTGGTCTTCTTGCTAGTTTATGTGGATGACTCGATCATAACGGGATCATCTATCTCGCTAATCATGACATCATTGCGTAACTCAAAGGAGAGTTTCCCATACGCGACCTAGGAGCTCTTCATTACTTCCTTGGTATAGAGTATCTTCTTCCTCTGTGGGCATTACTCGTCCCGGTAAAACTCCATCGGAGATCTACTCATTCGTAATGGTATGGAGGATTGCAACACATGTTCCACTCCAATTGCTACCCTCATACTTCATCCAAAACCGAGTGGCGAGTCTCCTTGAACATCCGATCACTATCGATAGTTGGTTGGAGCTCTTCGGTATGCTACCATCACATGTCCGGATATTGCATATTCGGTTAACAAACTTTGCCAATTCATGCACCATCCCATGGATGAACATTGGAAGGCTCTAAAGAGGCTACTCCGCTGTTTAAAAGGTACTCGGTCCACTAGCTTATTTTTCCCTTCTTCTTTATGGTTGGATTTGCAATGCTTTGCTGATAGTGATTGGGGCGGTGACTTGGACGATCGAAGATCCCCTAGTGGCTATGGCATTTTCTTAGGCTCCTCTTTAGTCTCCTGGTCGGCTAAGAAACAACCCACTATTACTCGTTCTTCCACAGAGAGTAAATATAAGGCCATTACCAATGCCATAGTAGAGATCATTTGGCTCCATTCTCTCCTTAAAGAAATTGATTTTGCTATTTCTCATTCGACTCTATGGTGTGACAACCATGGTGCCATATATCTCACCTCTAATCCAATGTTTCATGCTAGGACAAAACATATTGAACTAGACTATCATTTTGTCCGGTAACAAAGTTACTAGTGGTGCTTTAACAATTCGCTTCCTTCCTACCACATACCAAGTTGCTGACATTTTTACCAAGCCCTTGTCCACATCTCACTTTCGGTTTCTTAGAGACAAGCCGCACCTCGGAGATGTCCAAGGTCTTGCCGGATGGGTGTCGGGACGGTAGACCCGTTAGCCATAAGAGTTCCAACACCAGCAGAAGTTTGACTAAGGCGTGGCCAAAAGACCCTTTAGTGAGCAAGACTTCCAGCACTAGTAGAAGTACAAGCATGGAGGACATTCAATACAAACAGAATTATCTACGGTAGTAGGTGTGTCATGGGTTGATCGAGTTGCTCAATCTCCTACTCTATATCAAACACTTTGTAGTATATCTTATTATCTTATTATATCTTGTACAGGTTGTACAGTACATGAGTTGACATAAATAACATATACAAAAGCTTTTCAATATTTTACAAAGACAGCAGAGCAAGATTAATTTTTTAAGGAATTTTTCCTATATACTTTGTACACCAATTACGGCTGCTATGTATGATTGGTGACATTCACACCAATTATTATGGCATAACTTATCGAGAGCTTGAATTGCATGAGATCGGCACAAATAAAAAAAGAACTTCAAACTTTCTTTCCAAACTCCTCACACATGCAAAAGGTATCTGTTCCAGATCACTCCTCCTCTCCTCTAATCGTATCAGTTAGGGATGGATTCTGGCACCATTCAATATCTTAAGACAGCCGTAACAGGTGTCTTGGTCCTTGTACTTATCTATTGCTACCATATGACAAACAAGTGGAGAGCTGCCAAGAGCAGAAGGGCAGCTGAACCAGCTGGTTGATGGCCTATATTGGGCCACCACCAACTCTTAGCAGGCTCTCAGCTTCTCCACAAAACCTTAGGAGCCACAGCTGACAGGTATGGTCCAATCTTCACCGTAAGGCTTGGGGTGAATCCAACTTTGGTAGTTAGCAGTTGGGAATTGGCCAAGGAATTGTTCACCATCAACGACCTGGCGGTGACCTCTCGGCCACCTTTTACAGCTGCAAAATACTTGGGCTACAACTTCGCCACGTTTGGTTTTGCTCCACAAGGTCCATACTGGCGCGAAACACGCAAAATAACCACTTCAGAATTACTATCAAACCGCAGGCTTAATCAACTGAAGGATGTCAGGATTCATGAAGTGGAAACATCTTTAAAAGAGCTATACACGCATTGGGATGAAAAAAGAATGGCTCAGGCGATGTTGTTGTTGATTTGAAGCAATGGTTTTCGGGCTTAACTCTAAATGATATTCTTAGGACGGTTGCAGGGAAGAGGTATTATGGTAGTGCTGTGGGTGATGATGATAAAATAAAAGCACAGCAATGGCAGAAGGCTGTGAGGAAATTGTTCAAGCATTTAGGGATTTTTGTTGTGAGGGACGCTTTACCTTTTCTTGGGTGGCTGGATATTGGTGGGCATGAGAAAGCCATGAAGAGAACTGCAAAAGAAATAGACAGTATTCTAGAGGAATGGTTGGAAGATCATAAGCGAAAAAGGCTTTTAGGTGAGACTGATCAAGCAGAGCAAGATTTCATGGACGTTATGCTTTCGGTCCTTCAAGGCAATGAACTTGCAGGTTATGATGCCGATACAGTAAACAAAGCCACATCCTTAGTAAGTTTAATTCCCTCATCTGTTTTTGAGATTACTGATTGATTAATTTGTAAGCATTAGCCTCTCCAAAAATCTTATCAGTATTCTGAAAAGTTGCACTTGAACCCATTAAAATTTTAACACAAGAAGAATTCTTCATGATACCAAAAACTCATAGGACCCATATATGAATTATTTTCATGGTGGTGCCCGTGTTTTTGTGAGATACTCGGTTCTGTAGTAATTTAAACTTTTGGTGAAACTGAGAAACTTTTGGCTCTGTAGTAATTTACACAATATCTATATTTTTGATACTTGAGAGTCACGTATCTAAAGTGATCCAATGAAAGAAAAGAAATTCCTCATAACAATATCCCAATTAAGACAAATAGTGGAGTAGAGAGAGGAAAGAAAAGAAAAACATAAAACAGAATTACTCATCATAAAACAAGTTTACTTAAAAATACTATTTAGTCATCATAAAATAAAATAATTGTCAATGGAAAATAACTTTTTTATTTACCGAAGGTACTGTTCGGTAGATCAAAAAATTATACCTTTTTTTCACATAATAGTGGAATTTGTAAATATTTTTTAGACTAGATGTAATATACACTTAATTCGTTGCATCAAATATATCTACTAACATCACCTTTTATTTTAAGAAAACAACCTCATTATACATCAAGATAATAACTTCAAAATTTTAATAAAATTATTTTGATGATTAGATTATCTTTATACTATAAAACTATAGTAGCATGATTTTAATATATATATATTTTTAATAAAATATTTTAATTTTTTGTCCATCTTAGTTTATAATAAATTTATTTATTATGTACTTTTTTGTTATTTAATTTGTCACTTCAACGTGCTAATAACGAAGTATGTACTTGCACTTTCATAGAAAATGGTTAGCCTCCCATTCTTTAATTGATCTAATATTAATTCCATTTGACAGGGTATGATTGCAGGCGCTGGCGACACCACCCTCGTTACTTTGACATGGGCTATGTCTCTACTGCTAAACAACAAGCATGTGCTGGTAAAAGTCCGAGAAGAATTGGATAGATGTGCAGGCGTGGAAAGACTAGTGAATGATGCAGATATTAGCAACCTAGTCTATCTCCAAGCTATAGTTAAAGAGACATTACGGTTATATCCAGCAGCACCACTCCTAGCACCCCGCCAATTCACTGAGGACTGCACTATAGGTGGCTACCATGTACCAAAAGGCACCTGGCTTTTAGTGAACAACTGGAAAATTCAAAGGGATTCTCATATATGGCCAAATCCGTTGGAATTCAAGCCAGAGAGGTTTCTTACCACACATAAGCATGTCGATGTTAGGGGTCAAAATTTTGAGTTAATCCCATTTGGAAGTGGCAGAAGGGCTTGCCCTGGAATCTCTCTTGGCCTCCACATGGTGCATCTAACATTGGCTACTTTTCTGCAAAGATTTCAAATTTCTACTCCAGAAAATACATCGGTTGATATGACTGAGAGCTCTGGATTAACAAACCTCAAAGCCACCCCACTTGAAGTTCTTCTCTCACCGCGCTTGCCTCCTCACCTTTATGCCTAGATATTGTAATTACTATTATTACTAGTACAATAAAAATGTGGCAAAAGTAACAGTGAATTTCACTCATATATTATTTATATAGATGTAAACAAACTATTTACATTGGGTTGCATTTTTTGTTATTTCTATGACTTTCATAGCTATTTGTCATTGTTTTTCTGGGTTTCTTTTCAATTCGGTTCTAAACAATAGTAATTACAAAAAGTAGGGATGCAAAGTATTCGTGCTTTCATACTACATGAAATTTTTAAATAATTTACTCTTACTCAAAGTTAATGTCATACTATTGATTATTTAACCAAGTATCTTGATGTCTACAGGAGAGCAGCCTCATATTAATGCCATACTGATCACATAACTATGTATCTCGATGGGAGAGCAACCTGTTTTATGGTAGCGATTTTAGAACGAGTTTACAAGCAGAACTCTTAAAAAGTTCAAGAAACAAAGATGTAAAATAAGCAACCAAAAAGGAAAGAGATAATTTTTATAGCTATGTATGATTTATTTTTGGAGAATTGGAGGTTTAGCTTGATTGGTAAGAATACGTACGTGTTTCCAATTATGCAAGAAAAAACGGTTCGAATCTTAAGGGAGGTTATAAGAAAAAATATTTCTTATGAATGTATCAGTTTAAATGTGAATAGTTTATTTAAAACTTTTTTTTACAAAAAAAAACCTTAATCTTGATGTACAGCTATGCTGTGTGATATTTACACCAAACCCAAATATAATTACTTAGTTTTTACCAATTATGCAAGAATTTAATTAATGGATTAAATATTGACTCACTTGAGAACTAATTAGGTTGGATTGGATTAAATATAACTTAGAGTTTTTTTTTTTTTTTTTTGGTATCTTAAATGGGTCTCAAAGAAATAATCAATACTTGACAATAATACTCTTTGTTACCATTATTATTATTCTATAATGTTCCAACCGAATTTTGGCAGCGAGACCATTAGAGAGTAATAATCTTGTTCCAACTGATGATGATAAGGGAGCTCCTAATCTATGTAAAGTCGTACTGCGTAATCCATGTTCATATGAAACCAGAAGTGGTAGCAGGTGCGGATTCAGGGGACTGATGAATGAGCAATCCAGGGAGGTTTTCCCTTAACAACTAGCTAGCTTCGAAGGCATGGCTACCTCTAGTGTACAAGTCACTTTTTAATCCATGGTTTGAGGCATGTTAATTATTTTTGTTGTCCTTTCTGGTTTCTGTTACTTGTTTTGGCAATGTTTTTGTTTTCGTGGTGTATTATTTCCCCTTGCTTTGTATCATTAGTGTGATGCTACTAACAAAGTTTCTGCTATGGAGATTTAAGTTTTTTGTATTTATTTCTCAGAAGTCCAGTACGGTTTAATTGGTTCAAGAAAATGTTGATGAGTTTCCATGAAAATAAAGGCATAGCCTCTTGAACCCGTTTTCTACTAGTAAAGACTTTTAACACTCAATTTGCAAGTTGCATATGCAATATTCTAAGTTTATGACAACATTGTTTGTACATTTTGCTTGGAACCTTACTCATTAGTATTTTATTAAATTAAATTACCTTAGTTTTTTACATATGAATATTATCGACTACAATCACCATAATATATTACAACAGAAGAACAATCATCGTAAATTTGATATTATTCAATTTTTATCACCACTTCTAACATCATATCAAATATTAAGTATGCCTACCATCATTCATCTTACTTGTGTGTTAATTTAAAATTTAAGGACTACTGAAATGGAGAAGATTGTCACAGATACGCATATTGATAAAAATATACCTATATATCATGATTCGTCTTCCAAGTCAAGATCAACTCAAATTAGGCCTATCTCCCATTAATTCTTTTTTAAAATATTTCCCACTTCGCATCGAAGTCAGTCGCCAAGTCGCGATTAGTCCAAGTTGAATATTTTAACGTGTTTTGTCCTAGTGGAAGAAATCATAGCTAGTAGATACTGCAGAAAATAAAAAGTCTTGCAGAGTAGAAGGTGATTGCTGCAATAACTTCATGTGATTGGTTACTTCATTTCTAGTAGGGTTGGCTACTACTTCATTTCTAGTATGGTGAACTCGATTAATGATTTGTTTCAGTAATGTTGTTTTAGTGTTAGGGAATATTCTCGGACCTAGAATTAATTTTCAAATCAATCGGAACCAAAATTACTATTTTCGAATCTAGATCACTATAGAATTACTCTTAATTTTTGGTCGGTTTTAAATATTAGATTCTTTGAGTCTACTAACAGCTCATATTCAATGCTACATTGTTAAAGCACATATCCCATATTGGAATCCAATCTCAACTATTTAACTTTATATGGTATCGAGTCTCAAAAAGGCCCAAGTCCAGCAAAAATTCTGGAGTCCAAGCCACTTGATAGATCCCAAAAAGATGGGCTGCAAGTGAGGAAGAGTGTTAGAGCACATATCCCACATTGAATAGTTAAACCAAAGATGATTAACATATAAAGTTGAGAAGGGGCTACCGACCACAAGACTTAAGTCTTTTAGATAAAATCTAATCTTAATTATACAACTCTATTTACACAAAAGAGAGAGATGGGCTTTTTAAGAGCTTTCACATCAACTAAAACTAAAACTATCACTTTCGAGGTTAGGTTAGTGTTGAATCATGCTTAGTCTTTAGTCAATTGTAAAAGTGTGGCTCTTTGAATCTAATAGCAACTCATATTCAGTGCCACACAAAGAAGAAAGATATAATTTCTAAGAGTGATAATCGAACTTCAAACTTGACAAGTCATAAACACTCTTCTTACCATTCCATCTATAAATTTGGATGGTTTCATTTTCATTTAACATTGTTGTTTATGGATTTAGGTCTGCTCAAATTAGTAGTAATATAATTTGTCATGTTTGTGAAATCCAAATTAATTAAAAATGTAGAATCACTTCCTTGAATTGCTTCACAAGAATACTAACTATTAATTTTTTTAAAAGAAACATTAACAACATAATTTGATATTTTGTGGCTCGATATTTCTAGGTTATCTTGGCTTTTGGATAGTGATTGTAATGTTAATACATGAATCCACCATGGTGCACGTAGTTTTTTTTCAAAAACATTGTTTTGTATGGATTTGGATCTCATTAAATTAGTAGTAGCATGATCTATCATATTTATAAAATCTAAATCAATGCTTTCGAATAAAGGTTTGAGTTTTTTCATAAAGGAAAATAACAATCAAATTTTCTTAAAAAATTAATAACATAAATTGATATTTAGTAGTTTGATATTTTTAGGTGATCTTATCTTTGGATAGTGATTATAATTTTATTAATCACTTGGGTGCCTCTCGTTTTTTCAAGGTCTCCTCAAAATAGTGGTAATATAATAGACATTTTTAGAATGATATTTTAATCCTTAAAATTCAAGTTAATGTGACAACGAGTAATTAAATATTATCATTGTTTATTTGCTACCTTTTTTTTTTTTTTATCTCTAGGGTGTTTATGGTGCAAATGCATAGATTAATCTCTCGCTATTCGATCTAATGTATAAGATAGACACAGCTACGTAAGGAGTTTTTTATGTGTATGAAGACTCGAAGCCGAGACTATAACGCCCACGACCTAACAAAGAGCCGAGAGTGCTATTGCATTGTCTCACACTCGAGAGTGCAAGGCAATGGACTATGTTCTCTACCCCGGACCTCTACCATATTGTATAGAAAAATTTCCTTATTTGATTTAAAGTTTACAGACTTCCTAAATTTGACATTTAGTGCTAACAAATTTTTTACAATCCGATACATATTATAAACTCTTTTATTTCTTTTCATAATTGAAACATAAACTTAAAATCCGACTCTCCAAAATGACTTAGGCAATCACCCCTAAAAGGGCACACAAGGTGAGAGATTTATTAGATAAATAATAGTATTTAATGACTCATCCCAAAATGACTTAGGTAGTCACGCATGAGAAAGTAAGCATCTTTCTTTCTCAATTAGAGTCTTATTCATCCTTTCGACTAACCCATTCAACAAAGGTGTTCTTGGTGGAGTCTTTTGATATTTGATGCATTAAGTCTTGTAATACTCATCAAAAGGGTCGAATATTTATCACCATGTCCGTTCGGAGACACTTAAGCTTCCTTCCTGTTTGTCTTTCTACCAAAGCTTGAAACTGCTTGAAAACACTAAGAATTGATCTTCCGATCTCAATGTATAAACCCAAACCTTCCTTAAGTAATCATCTATGAATGTCACAAAGTAATAGGACCCACTTTTTGACATTGTCTTTCCGACTCTCTCAATTAGAGTCTTGTTCATCCTTTTAGCTAACCCATTCAACTAAGGTGTCTTTGGTGGAGTCTTTTGATATTTAATTGCTTGAGTCTTGTAATACTCATCAAAAGGATCCGAACATTCATCACCATTATCTCGTTCATATACACTTAAACTTCCTTCCTGTTTGTCTTTCTATCAAAGCTTGAGACCGCTTGAAAACACCAAGAATTGATCTTTCGATCTCAATGTATAAACTCATGCCTTCCTTAAGTACTCATTTATGAATGTTACAAAGTAATAGGAACCATCTTTTGACATTGTCTTTATAGGACCATATATATCCGAATGTACTAGCTTGAGGGGATTGTGTTTCCTTGTAGGTGGAAGGCACTTAAAGAAATCTCTATTCTATTTTTTAGCAAACTAATGTGGACACTTCTTCGTGTGATTATCCCGCATCTCAAACAATAACTTTTTTTGCCTTTCTTAGTCATGTAAGCCAATAACTTGTGCCGTAATTCAGTACCTTCCTCTCTTTTAACAATATTCACATCATCATTTAATAATTTAGCATGCATGACATATAAAGAGGAAAACTTCTCTTTTTTTACCATTACCAAGAACCCTTAGACAACTTCCACATATTATTTTTGAATGTGTTACAAAATCATTCATCATCAAGTCTGCCAATTGAGATTAAATTCAAACAAAAGTTAGAAATATGGTTCACATTCTTTAGAACCAATTTTACTATAATATAAGTCTCTAAGCACACATCCGTAATACCAACAACTTCGGACAACCCATGTTGCTAACCCTCGTTGCCTTAATATTTTGAACTAATTTTTCTAGTAAAAATTGTTACCAAGCCTCACTCGGGTCATTGTCTGCTCTAACAAAAATTGGGTAAAATTCTTTTTCCTTTTCTATTTCTTTCTTTCAGTTTTGGTTTTTCTCTTTTTATTTTTATTTTTATTTCTTTCCAATATTTTGAACTAATTTTTCTAGAATGATTTCTCAATTGAATCCCTCTTGTTTGTGTTTCTTGTCGCTCCTTTATGCATATGGAATTGCTCTCCGGTTTCCTTTAACCTTTGGATTGAATCCCTTTCTCTCTGTTTCCCTCTTTTTTTGTGTGTTATGAGTTGTGTATATATATGAGTGCTTCGTTCCCCTCTTTGTGTTAATTGGGATTTTTCTTATAAGTTCGGGAGTGTGGGGTGAAACTAGTAGTCCAATAGTCCTCTATTGTTTTTTTTTTTTTATGGATGAAGGAGGATCCCTTCTTATTGATGTAAAGTACTAGCCTCCTTAAATTTTTAGATCGTGTTTCTCTTTTTTTATTTATGAATTTTGTGTGTGTGTGTGTGCGTGTGTACGTATATATATATATATATATATATATATATATATATATATATATATATATATATTGGTTCTTCACCATGATGGTAAGAGATTTTGTAGGCTATAGAGTGTGGGAGTGTGGCCATTTGGATTGTAAGGGATGGTTGTGGCGGAGCTGGTAATAGGGGGATGTACTGCTGGCGATAGGGGAAGGTATTGCTCGATTTACAGCATGGTGAGGGGTGATAAAGGGTGCTAGAACTAGGGGATTTTGTTTGGAGGGACTCGTGACAAGTATGGGGGAGGTAATGACTATGAGGGCTAGGAGTGATGGGTGTTACCCCGAGATGGAGGGGAATTGTACCTCCATTTATGTTTTCTTTTTCTTTTTCTTTTTTTTTTTTGTTATTATTATTATTATTATTATTATATATATATATATATATATTGCAATTTTTTGTAATTTTTTACTAAGTTTCATGCAAATAAATAAAAATTTTGTTGATTATCTAATT